TGTAGAACTTCAAGTTTATGAAACACCTTTTTGTTTTTGAGAGAGTATGTTGTTGATCGTCAAAGTGAGATGATAGGTCTTACATATATATATCATATATAATGGCCCCTAATAAATACCCCTAATAAATGTTCATATCACATTCCTCTCAACCATAGTACAGAGATATATATCAGTACACACAAAAGCAAGACTGCAGTTACTTTCGTACTGTACGTATAAAAGTAGCCCATACTCCTCTAGCTCATTATCATACAGTTAGCATTTTTTTTCCTCATTTCCTGAATACTTTGTCATCTCTCATGCCTTATGCAATTATTGGAATTCTATAGTAGAGAGCAGGCAGTATATGAAAGTATCATTAAATTCCCTGTACAGTATACTATTTATAACAATTCACAGAAATCAGTATCATCTATGCAGTTTTTAGTGAATGATACCAACAGTAACTTGCAAAACATGACTTTTCTGTAATACTCATATTATTGGTGTTCAATACAAATCTACATGAAATTTGCCATGCTCTGGAAAGCCTGCCAATAGCACAGCTTCAAGCCACTGCTACAGCAACCTCTCTACTTGCTACAGAATGGCCAACAATGCTCAAATTTATATACTTTACTGTGTTTCGACACATTCTTTATCCATATCGTTAGGGAAATCTGTAAACTCTACCTTACTATAATATACATAGTCAAGATATATCCAAGAATAAGTACCAAAGCATCAGGTATTTCCCTACATCTACAACAAAAAATGTCTACATTCATAAATTCAAGCTATGTATATCTAATATAAATAAACATCTTACATTACACACTGTCACCAAAGAAAAGATACTTAAAGTTACCAGATACTGTAACACATAACCCATCACCTCTATTAATAAATTACTTCATAATTCCAGAACTCAACCAGATTAGATATGTACAGGTAACTAGTGATGTTTAACACCTAATATATCTTTTTGTCTCTCCTCATTTCTTCTTTAACAAAGAGTTTAAATCTATTGCAATCTATAATCCTTGTATTATGTACATACTTTTCCCTTATTCTTGCTACAATTTATTTATCATTCAACGGTCTCACTCACCGCTATGATGACGCAACCTTATCTCCAAGCTTATCCTTTGTCTCTTTCCACGCTATTCACTTATTATTTGAAGAACCGCAATGCCTTCTGCCACAGGGCTTTATTCACACCTCCGTAACATTCCTCAGTCACGTCAAAAACATGTTAAAACCAGTGGACGTCGAGTTAATTTATATCGGTGTGTAAGTGTGTTATGTATTGGGTATCGGGTTCACTCCCACCGAGCCGCAGCTTGGCCCGCTTTCCCTTGACTACTGGCAGCGTTAAGATTATTGTAGTTTTTATTTTTTGTTTATTTTGGTCATTGTTTGACTGATGTGTGTGTGTGTGTATGTATTTATGTGTGTGTGTGTGTGTGTGTGTGTGTGTGTGTGTGTGTGTGTGTGTGTGTGTGTGTGTGTGTGTGTGTGTGTGTGTGTGTGTGTGTGTGTGTGTGTGTGTGTGTGTGTGTGTGTGTGTGTGTGTATGTTCTTGAGACACAAGTATATTGCATGATATATGTGCATTATCGTATCAGCTGTATCAGCACTTTCATTATCATTATTAATATCATCATTATTATCATTATCATCATTACTGTTTTTGCTGTTATCATCGTCGTCATAATTATTATTATCATTGTTATTATCATCATCATCATTACCATTATTGTTATTAGCATTATCATTATCATCATCATTATCATCATTATTAGTATTATCATTGTTATTATCATCACTATTAGTATCATCATTAACTATATTTTTCTTGCTAATATTACTATCATTATTTTTCTTATTACTATTACCATTATTCTTGTTCTCATGCTTATTTATATTATCATCATCACCATCATTATTACCTAAATGATACTATTGGTATTGTTAATATTATTACTACCACTACTGCTATCATTATCATCATTATCTTTAATAATATCACTTTCGTTATTGCTATCAATTCTCAGTAATACCATCTTTCTCACTGTCATGGTCGTACAAACGAACAAACGGATGTGACATATATGCCCAAACCTCAAAACCTTTTACGGGCAGCTGTCACTAGAGTGCACACATACTGTCTCACACACGCACACGCACTAACACACACATACACGCACGCACGCACACGCATGCAACAGACACAGTCACATTCACACACAGTTATATATATATATATATATATATTATATATATATATATATATATATATATATATATATATAATATATATATGATGATATATGTGTGTGTGTGTGTGGAGAGAGAGAGAGAGAGAGAGAGAGAGAGAGAGAGAGAGAGAGAGAGAGAGAGAGAGAGAGAGAGAGAGAGAGAGAGAGAGAGAGAGAGAGAGAGAGAGAGAGAGAGAGAGAGAGAGAGAGAGAGAGAGAGAGAGAGAGAGAGAGAGAGAGAGACTACATACTTAAGACCACCCAAAAAAAAACAAAAAAACATCGTGCTATATACAAACCAACAATCTAATCACCTCCACAATCTTATCTCTCTTATCAAAACTCACACAGACAAATCCCTCCATTTTCTTCTCGTTTTCTTGAATTCTCCCATAGTCACCCCTCGAAATCCTGAAAAGCAAAGGGAAGGTGGGAAGAGAACGGAATTTAGTGCCCCAAACGTTTCGGATCTTGCCTTTGCAAAATTGCACCACATTTACACGCTTTGCTACTATAAGAAGGACGACTACCCCTTGATGTCATGTAGTCTAGGTTGGTCCAAGATACGCAAAAGCAGAAAGAAAATGAAGATATTTGAATAATGGTGCTGGAGACCTGCCAGAGGAGAGCGAAGATGTTTTGTTGTCAAAAAGAAGGAAAAAAGGGATAAAGCAAGATTTTTAAGAAGTAGAGACAGATTGAGAGGAAAAGGGACTTATTCTATATTGAACAATGGCGTCACAGGTCACTCAGGTGAGATTTTGCTCCCAAAATAATGTTCATTAGCTTAATTTTGTGTATTGGTAGATGTTAATTTATGTTGTTGTTGGCTAGACATTGAAGTTTGTGATATTTATATGGTTTAAATTATTTCCAAATAGTGCTGTTAGTTTTATGGTAGATTCTGTTGATTTTATAAACTAAGTGATCCTTTGTTTTCCTTTTCTGATGTGTTTTTGTGCTTAATTTTGATGAAAATCCTCGTGATTTTTAAGATTATTATTACAATTATTGTTATAAATATCATTATTGGTAGATTTGGATGTAGAGCAATACTGAAAGTAATGGCACACAAGACTCAATGATAAAATAAAAAAGAGAGATCCCATAGTAAGTGGCCATAAAATAATGGAAAATTTACAGTGGATAACAATCAGGAATTTAGTAAAGGAAAAAAAAAATGGTATTGAATGGTTACCTTGACGCAAAATAAGACACTTTTCATCTATGGCAAAAGGTGCCCAAATCAAAAGGAAAGGAGTTACATGACAGAGAAGAGAGAACTTTTCCCAAGTCCCTCGCCTTGTTGACATCACGAATGTGATAAAAATTATGACCACTTAACTCCTTATTACTCTCTCATAAGTTTTTGGTGTTGCGTCAAATCTAGGTTGTTCTTAAAACTATACAGTGGTAACGAAGAAGAAAAAGACCTTAATAACTATCCGTTTGATTTCTGAGGCCATCAAGTACCCCAAATCCCAAAAAAAGTGATAAAAATGAAGGGATTCACAATAGACTGACTGACTGACCGAAAAAAGCGAAGGAATTGACAGTTCGGTCTTTCAATATATAAAGGTATTTGGTTTATTGTTTACAGTATGGATGTAGCTCTATCTTGCCATATATACCGAAGTGAAGAGAATGTATCCCGGGGGTGTTGGGGGATAGAGCCCCCCATCTACCCCCCCCCTCGGGCAGTCACCTAGTCACGGCACTGTAAGGTTAGGTTGGGTTATGGGTCAGGATGTTTTGGGGGGTTTGGAAGGTGAGAAATACCATAGATTTTGCTGAAAGATGGGTTGGATTCCCATAAAGTTTTTCAAACTTTGGCACGTTGGTTCCTAGTTAGTTTAGTCCTTTATTTACCACCCTGGCTAACTGCACAGGCGTGGGCAAGCTGTAGTACATTTGATACATGGTCAAAGCATTATATAATAGTATTACAGTGTAAATCTAGATCATAAAATTATTACGGTCTAAAATATATCATTTAAAGGAAAAGAACGATCAGTAATTTATCTACTCATCTGTCAAGCCGGCATACGGCTTGGGCGTGGAAAGGCAATGTAACATTTGATATGTGGTCATGTGATACTACATTCCAAATTTAGGATATAACATAATTATATCTTCCAAGACATCAGATGATATGAAGTAGTTACATAGTTCTCCATACCTCATGCTAGGTGGTCTGAAAGGCAGTATTACATGGCACTCTGAGATATAATGTACAAGTGTTCGCTTATATTCTTCATTGCATAATTTACACTTCGTTTCTTCAACATTACAGGCTGTACTGACCTGCCAGTACAATCTATATCCCAGCCTGATTCTTGCGGTCACAATATCACACTGTCTTGTTCTTGTTTTGTATAAACCATAGATGAAAACATCTTGCATAAACCTGTCATAGTGCTTTATGCTACAGCTTTCAGGCCGTTGAGAATTAATCAAGTCAGACAAGTCCTCTTTGAAGGAAGTTTTAATGATGTGTGAAATCCTAGCAAGAGGTACTCCAAGATCTATATCAACACTTTGCTTGTCACATGCTGATTTTGCTAGGCGGTCAGCATGATCATGCCTGGGGATTCCAACATGCGATGGTATCCACACAAAACGTATATCATGGCCTCGTTCTTTGCACGAACACATTTATCCTTATGTCATTTGCAATTTTCCTGCACCTTTGTCTAGTGTGTTCAATGCCTGGAGAGCACTCTGTGAGTCGCAGAAAATGACTCCTGAGCCTTGACTTAATAGAAATTCGGTGGCTATGAGCATTCCTGCCAACTCAGTTTGCGTAGTGCTAGCCCAGTCATGAACCCGCCTACAGTCCTGGTGCTGCAAAATATTGTTTTTATATACGACAAAAGCGCATCCTGCTCTACTCCCAGACTGCAAGGATCCATCAGTGTAGCATTCATACGCATTGGGCATAGTTTCAAGGTGCTCATTGATAATTGCTAAAGCATACTGCTTAAGTACAGCAGGGGGACACTGTCTTTTTTGGGGCAGTCATATAAAAAATACACTTAGGTCCGACATTTTCCACGGTGGAGCAGAACGTCTATGTAGGGTCTTAGTTATGGATATGTTCAGCTGAGACAAGTGCTTACATGTTACTTGTTGCCATGGATTTGAATTTGAATCGATGTTGCCATTCAAAGTTAGCTCCACTATTCTATGTTTTAGTTGTCTTTGGAACTCTGTACAATAGAGGGGTTCTCTTATTGCTTTGACGCTAAATGTGGTGTTTATGTATAATATTCTTTCATAGACAGACGGCAAATTAAGTTCTGATCTCATATTCACAATCCTCGTTGTCTTAGGGGCACCGAGAATAAGCCTCATGGCCTCATTTTGTACAATTTCTAAACTAGCCAACTCTGATTCCTTGTATAATACTAGGTGCAATGCATGATAATCTATGACCGACCGTATGTATGACAGGTAAAAGAGTCTAGCAATATTGACATTAATACCATGGTCTTTGCCGAAAAGTGTCCTAAGTGGCTTCAGACGTTCCCACAGCCTTTTCTTCAGGTTTTGTATGAACTCTGAATCATTAACAGCCACCCCGAGATATTTGTATTGGTGACAGAGACCTAGACTTTCAAAGGTGGTGAACATGTCTGTAGAGTTTCATTAGCTGATTTTTACTGTTTTTTAAGCTAGTTTTACGCACTTCTGTTCACTATTCCTCTTGTTTAGGCCTGTTCTACCTCATAATTTCCCTGATATACTTCTTGCCTACCCCTGCTAACTAGACTTAACACATCAAGATCGTCAGCTGTGATTGCTACGGAAATGATCATCAGATTCATTCTCATCACACAAGAATAAATCTGATGATATAAATATTGTCTGGGAAGTCTCGATTGCCATAATCGAAAAAATAACTAAAATAATACATAAGGCAATGCAACTAAGTATTGAAAATAGATAATCTGCCAAGTTAAAGTAAAAGCCTGCAATTGCTACTGAAATACAAGCTACAGCTACATTACGCAAAGCATTCTTGCAGAGAATCATGTATTGTAATAGAAAAGACGACCAGTTCGGAATTTATTTCATAGTGGACCTTTGGCCTTTGACGGAGCACCAAAGGCCATGGCAGTCGCATGACGATGTTTCAGGACGGGCAGACAAGCTTTTCCGAGAAAGGGCCAGATGAAACTTGGGCAAACAGCTCATAGGCACGAGTGACTATAATTAAGAATATAATAGAAAAACATGATAATTAGTCTAGCTCAGTGACATGGAGGCCCAATATTGTCCTTGAGGCAGTATCTATAGTGTTGGAAGTGAATGTCATATTGTATATACGCCTCACTTTCAAAGAAAATGCTAAACATATTGATGTGTTAAATATGCGCAATGTATTTTAGAGAATTGTGAGATTGGACAGAGCTTTAGGTGATAATAAAATAACTGATCGTATACAAGTTCTATCTGTTGGCCTTTGCATGAGCACGAGAGATGCCAAGGCTGTGACAATTGTTTGAATCTCTTACAAGTGATTCTTTGAAAAATCAGTAATATGCTGCTCCTCTGGGTACATTCCAATATCCTTTTGATTGTCTAAAGTTCTATCTTGCCTTACATACATGGTGGATTCTTCCAGGGGGTGTAGCAGTATGTAAAGCCTCATGAAGCCTCATATTTTACACTGTAATTTCCCTGCTATCGGGGCCAAGATTGTCGTTAATGGTAGGTGAGTTCTGCACAATAATTTCTTTATATTTGGAAACTAGAGAGTGAAAGGAATCTATCGGTATCACAATCGTCATGATCCATGACAAGCCGCTATTACGAAAAATTACCAATATGGAATTATGTTATTCTCTGGGTATATTATTATCTTTATTATTATTATTGTTATTATTATTATTTTATCAATCTTATTTATACATATTCTTTAAGATTTACTTTTTTCTCAATAACAGTATATACGTTATGTCCCTGTATGTAACTCATTTACTTTCTCATTTACAGGAGGATTACGGGGCAAATCGACTGTATCCCTTGTTATATATCCTAAGAAATGTATGTGCACCAGCATTGGCCAGTTTATTTGTACAGAATTTTAAGGATACAAAGTATGTTAAGGATCAAAAATATGAAGAAATTGCAAAAATGAACCTGTATGAGCTATTGAGAAAAGTTCACAATAAAGGCAAAAAGGAAGAAGAGAAAAAGAAGAAAAAACAAACAGACAACTTACAGAGTTCTTCCGCAGTCTCAAAAACATTGCACATAAACAACCTAGGTACCAATGCCGACATTTTGAGCAGGATATCGGTGAGAGATCTCCTAGTTGAGAGGCCAAAACAATTAGAAATAAAAGGTGATCTGTCAAATATTGATGTGACCTTTCTCTTGAACGTCCTCACAAATGAAATTCTTGAATTCGACTTGGATCTCAGACCACTGCAGGTCATAAGGAGCATCAGAAACAAAATTTTCCACTCGGGTTCAGAAATTGAATGCACAGAAATTAGCCTGAACAAGCTTTGTGAAGCAGCTGAAAAAGTGCATAAGTACATAGGTGAAGCAGTTGACATACACAGCAAGAGGGAAGAGTCTCTGAGTCTTCCGCAGTGCTTGGACACCTTAGCATGCAATATAATAGGTCAGTACAAACTTACGGTTTTGTTTGTTAGTTTGTTACATTGTCTGAGTTCCTTTGAAAACCATTTGAATATCATTGATATTTCCTTTTCCTTTTTCATTTATTCTTTCTTTCTTTTTCTCCTCCCTTGTATGTGTTGTTTCTTCCATTATCCCATGAGAATACTGCAAACTCGCTGAGAGAAAGATCTGACTTGTTTTTATATGACTTTCCCCAGTTTCAGTGTTTAATAAACTTTCTTATAGAGTTGGCATCAAATTTTCATTTTAGAGATACAATTTGATGCTTCTTCATTAAGGGAATTCTTGATGTACAAGCTCTTCCCCTACTATTCAAAGCTTTTTAATGCAGCTTTTAGCAGTTGGCATCAATTGCAGAGTGAGCACAAGTATCTTGGCATGAGAGTATAAACTTTACCAAGCATTATGTCATCCAGAACATCACTGTAATGTGTTTTGAATATATAGGTCCTCTTGCAGTCTATTGTGGTATTCATGTTAAAAAGTCCCTTACCCTGAGTGTGAATTCCTGTAAACCATGTCAGTTACCTTGTGGCAGCAATCATAAGCATGTAATAAGCCCAATTTTCTCATGCTTACTATTTGGCCATATATTTTCACTATTGGTTTTAGCAGTGCAGTTTCTTTTTCCTTTCATAAATGAAGGTATTCTAACTCTGATAATTTTACTCGCAGATGTTGGGAGTTTTTTTTTTCCCCCTTTTCTTTTCTTTTTTTTTCTTTTTTTTTTTTTTCTTTTTCTTCTTCCTTCATCTTAGTATTCAATGTTTTTTCCTTCTGTAATCTCAGTTACAATATTTCCCTGAAATGTGTCTCCTTTTGTTCTGATGTATGGATTGAGGAATTTTGATATTTATCCTGTAAAACTATAGTGTAGTCCCTCATTGACTGGTTTTGCAGAGGAACTGAAAAGCGAGGTCACTTCAAAGTACCAGAATGGTGGTCGTGCTGTCCTTCCTCCAATCACCGATATTGGGTAAGTCTTAGTACCAAAACCTACCAGTTTTTGGATTTCTGAGCATTGGGATTAGATCCAGTTTTACATTCCAGACACTCTTTCACAATTTTATTCTTCATTTTGATAGTTCACCTGCTACTCAAAGTATAAAGCCATAACAGTTTGTAAAGGAAATACTTCTGTCACTTGAGCTAATAACAGTTATCTATTATGGGGCTACAAGCATGTGAATATATAACTCATAATCTAGCTCAAATTTTTTATGTTGACAAAGGAAGCTATGTTTAGTGTAAGGATGGAAAAGAGAAGATAAGACACTCAAGTAAAATAGACAGAAGTATGATTGACTTTGAGATATATTGCATGGGAAATATATCTATTTGATTATAAGATAAAATGTTTCCATAAGATAGATAATAAGTTTGATGGATAAAGCAAGAGTTTATCACTCCTATGTGAATGTTTCTCTAAGGAGCCACATGTGATGTTATAATTACTATAACATTTCATCTTGTCAAGCATAGATTTCAATGAGTTAATTGAGGATAAAGAGATCTGACATTAGCTATAGAACCGTGCTTTATTAGCAATGGGTAAAAGACTAGGTATAAAGTTTGTAGGTATTCAGGTATCAGCAAATACAGTGTGTTATGGAAAGAATTGATAGGATTTGGTTACATTCTTATTGTTTATTGGACCATCAGAATGTAGTGATTCATGCAACTTTATACAGTATTATCCAAGTAATTAAAACTGAATAGAGTTTATTATGAAGTTAAGAGAAGTATGGATAATAATGAAGGACTTTACAGAACATCATCAGTTAAATAGTATTTTAAACCTACAGTCATTATGAGGAATGTTCAGCAGAATTACATAGCATCTCATTCATGGCTCGGACAGTGGGAGGTGTATTTATACCGAGTTGCTTTTTGAGTGGATAATAATCTTTACATTTTGATAGATTATGTGTAGAATCTATTGTCTTTTCGTATTTTACAGATGTCAGAGCAAAGTAGATATGTGGAAATATATTGAGGACCTAGTCCAAATTCCTCAAGGGCAAAGGAATCCCATCGTGATGTGTGGAGCCTCAGGAAGTGGGAAAACTTCTGTCCTACAAAGTGTTGTGGCCTCCATGTGTGAGAAGAAAGAATCTCCTTTTCAGTTAGTTTTATACTTAAAACTGTACAATAATCCCAGTGAGATGGCTATGTGGGAAGGTATGTTAAAAAGTATTGAAGAGCAGTATCCTAAGACAGTAAAGAAATATGATATTATTTATATATTGGATGCCTTAAGAATGTATGCAAATGATATTTTGTTTCTAGTTGACTGGAATTTAAAGGATGCCAAACACATTCCTCTAGCAAATATGGTAAACGGGACATGGGTGTTGACATACCAAGGTGAGTGTGAGAGTTTAAGTGCCTTCCAGATCCTTCAAGTGAAGCCTCTTACTGAAGATTTAGTACAAGACATTTTGAAGAGTCTCAATGGAGATGAGAGAGAGAAGCAGTACATGTTAGAATTATTTGATGAGTGTAAGTACAAAGGCATTTTAAATACACCTGAGATGGTTAACATTTTCAATGAAATTAGAAGATCAGTACCATGTAAAGAAATGTTCGAGTATTTTATCAGAAAAAAAATTAGATGCTTCACTACAGATAATGACCTAGAATTGATTGAGAAGCTCACATCTAGAAATATGGATACTAAAGATTTAGTACAAGAGATTTTGAAGAGTCTAAATGGAGATGAGAGAGAGAAGAAGGACATGTTAAAAAATGATCTTCTTACTGAAGATTTAGTACAAGACATTTTGAAGTGTCTGAATGGAGATGAGAGCAAAAGGGAGAACATTTTAAAATTATTTGAAGAACCTAAGTACAAAGGCATTTTAAATACACCTGAGATGGTTAACATTTTTATTGAAATTAGAAGACTGGTTCCATTTAAAGAAATGTTAGAGTACTTTATTAGAAAGATAATTAGATGCATGAAAATAGGTAATGACCTAAAGCTGATTGAGAAGCTCACACTTAGAAATGTGATAGAAAATGAGGGGTTCTATAAAGAAAAAGATTTAGAGTCTGTAAAACCTGAAATAACAGACTCATTTTTCTTAAAGGATGCCAAAGGCTTATCATTTAGATATAGAGTTATAGAAGAATTATTTGCTGCCAGGTTTATTCAAAGAGAAGAAGAAGAAGAAACCAAAAGAATGTTAGAAAAATATCCAACTCAGATTCCCTTGTTAAAGAGAGTAATCAAATTTGCCTGTATTTTTTGGTGTGAATATGACCTGATAAGGAAGAAGTTGTATTTCATAAAGCCATATCTTTCCCAAGTTTTGAATGTAGATGATATCAAATGCTACAAGAAGAGAAAGAAAGAGGAAATGGATTATATTTTTGAGGATGATTCTGAAACTGGCAGCCAAGAGAATGCTTTTACAAAGTGGTCATACCTTGTTAATTTTGTTGAAGCCTGTGGATGCAGACAAGAAATTTTAAATCTTCTTGGTGAAATCATTGGTCAGAAAGATGTTTGGCTATTCAAATGCAAATTCTTAAATGAAGAAAAAATTCCAGTTCTTGAGAAAATCCTAAGAAATGTGAAGTATAGCAGACCAAAAACAGTCAGATTGGAAAGTGGCGTGAAATGTGAAATCCTAAATATGGTGTGGAACATTTTGGGAAACCTGCCATTAGAAAATAAGATGTTGGTCCGGATAAATATAGTGGGAAGGAAATGTCCAAGTGTATCTCTTGCAAATTTGGAGAATTTAATTAGAGATATAGTGAATGTAACAAACCCCTATCTCCAGCTATTAAATTACGTGGGACCTTTTGTATACAAAGGAGAGAAAGAATTTATGGAATGCCTTTGTGTTAAAGATCATTTAAGATTTTTGGATGTAATTGTTAGAGATAAGGCATCCTTTGCAGAAAGCATAAACTGCAAAGGACTAGCCAAATTAATAGAATCAAAGGTCAAGGTGAATCTAAAATCTGTCACAGAAAACAAAAAGACTCCAACAGTGTCTGAAGATAAACCTCCTACTCTAACAGTTCGGTATCAGAGTGGTATTTTGAATCTGCTGCATGAATTTAATTGTTCACAATATCTAAAGTACTTAAGCATGGATGGGATTGTTATCACAGAAAAGTTCCACATCAACCTGGAAGCTTTTACAAGTCTGGAATGTTTATTCATCAAGTGCAATCCAGAATCTTACACTAGAAATCAGGCAGTCATTACTGGCACTGAGCCAATGGAGGTAGATGGAAGTGAACAAGGTGACGCCAGTGCTACAGTGCTGCCTTTTAAAGATTGGGTTTTCAAGCTAGCGATGCACACCAAACTTCCAAAAGGGTTGGAGAGACTTATGCTCCATAACATGAGTTTCTGTAATGATTCAAATGTCTCAATTCTGATTGAGAAGTGGAAGAACTTACAGAGATTAATGATATTAGACACCAATGTATCTGTTACAGGAGCATATGACATTGTCAAGGAGAAGGAAAATGAGAGACCAGAACCTTCATTTGAAAATGGTGCTGATGTTGAGCAGCACTTAAAGAAAAAGTGTCACATATCCACTTCGGACATATCTCATAACAAAGGGTGCAACAAGTGTCCACGTTTAACAAAAAAGGAGCGGAAAGCACAGAGTAAAGAAAAACCTTTAGGCAGAGAATTAATAATTACCTCAAACCAAGATCTCTGCCGTAAATGCAAGAATTTCCCGTGCTCTTGCACACTCATGGATGGTGAAGACAGCAGAGAGACATTTGACAGCATTAAAAATCTTATCAGAGCCTCTTATGAATGTGACTACCTTTCCTTCAGCTATACTAATAAAATCTTTACCGTGAGGAAGAATATGCACAAGGACTTGAGAGTCCATATTCCCTTGCCTTCATTGGATGATGACTTAGTGCTCAAGTTGCAACTGTATACTAGTGGGAAAAGTGTATTTGAAGATGCACAACTCTCTCATAATGGTGCTGACAAAGCTGTTAAACTTTTGCAGCAGCTTGATTCTTTGAAAGGTGTATTTGAATCTTTAATCATAGTACAATATATCCAACTTGAGCTCACAAAACTTTCTCACAAAGGTGCTACAAAAGTTGCTCAATATCTGATAGATTTGAAAAAGTCATACAATGAACCGTTTTCTCTCGCCATTTTGACCACTGAGCACCCACGTTCAGCTGAAGCAGTTAAATTTAGTTATACTGTCAAATTCCTAAGAGATGATAAAAACCTGTCATACTTTTATTTCCAGTGTTCATGTAAAAAGAGGTGCCTCAGTTTAAAGAAGACACATAACTGTGACATATACATTAATAATGAAATTTTAGAAAAGTAATTAGATCTCTCTCACTCACTCACTTTTGCTGCTTGTATATCCCTCTCCCCTTTCCCTTTCCCTCTGTCTGCTTGTATATCCTTTCTCCTCTCCCTCTCCCTCTCCTTCACTCTGCATGTATATCCCTCTCTCCTCTCCCTCTCCCTCTCCCTCTCCCTCTCCTTCATTCTGCTTGTATATACTTCTCTCCTCTCCCTCTTCACACATGTTGAGGAATGGAGGATAGAACTAAAGGAGTGTGGGATTGTTGGTGAATTGGAGCAAGGAAGCTGCTTACATAATGTCGAGCTCTCTGAAATCTTCATTGCAATGCCATATTTCATGTGATTTACTCTCTTGAGGTTTTTATATCTCCATAGAGAGAGGGGATACTTCTACATATGTGTATATCCTCTCATAAATATGTTCATTGGAATCTGGATGGGGTATTAGCTTTAAGAATCTCTTTCTCAACATATCTCGGCATTGTTTAGAAAGCTGTTTATTGATTTGTATTCAGTTGTTATGTTGCAAGTTTTATACAAATGAATTTTTGATAGTTCCTGAATTTTACAAGTTCCCTTGTATGTTTTTATAAATGTGTCCCATAATTTGTTATATATTTATATATATTCAGATACATATATATATGTGTATAGATAGATAGATAGATATAAATGTGTTTGTTTGTTTGTTTGTTTGTTTGTTTATGTGCGTGTGTGTGTGAGTGATTGGGCTTGGTAATTTACAGCATTACTGATCCAGGGCAGCTGACTCCCACATTTTAGTTTGGGAACTGTGGTGAATTTCATCTTAATGTGTAAATATAAGAGAATGCATAAAATGTGTCAAAAAAAGAAAAATTATATATATATGCTATGTATTTTTATTGATTACTTCTGTGATTTGTATTTTTAAAGTTCAGTTTTTAATCTTTAGCTTAATAGTAAGTTGTATTTTTGACTTTTAAGGAGTGTGATTTTAACAACAAAAGTCACAGACATTTTTATAAGAAAGAACTGATTTTATAAATACATATACATAAAGCACACATTTCCATTGAGTTTTAAATTTCCTACTTAATGGTAACAGAGCAAAATGTAATTTTCACTATTTTCATATAAAGATTGAAATTGCTTAATAATTGATATGGAACAGTTACCTTTTTACATAACAGACTCCAAACAGTAATCACTGCATCCTCTCTCTATTGTATAATTTATAAGCTTGGGCCTCTCTGTTGTATCAGATAAATGAAGGTCTTAATTTTCATAAAGTGAAAGTAACCTTTGCATATCATGTGAGTATTATCTTCACTTTCTCTTTGGTATTCAGGTTTATTTTATTTGCACATTATGGATGTAGTCAACCATTTACATACATACACGTTTTTATAGTATTATTATCAATATTCCATGCAATGTTTTTATGATTGATACTGTGTTTCCATACAGAGATAGTAGCTCATTTTCTTACAAATATTAAAAGACGGAAAATTTGGGATTTTATATAAGGAAGATAAAACAATTCTCACAGGATGAACAGATCATAGTGTTATATTCATATACACAAAAAAATGTATATTCTTCATAATGTATGATACCTAATGAGAATTAATGGTTAGTAGTTATTGGCTGAAACAAATGTGCTAGGCATCAAAGGTGATAAAGCACATGGTAAAGTGTTATGTCAAAAAAGGTAAAAATGAGTGATTAGTGTCAAAGTTTATAGAGTTTTATAAAATAGTATGATGATAGGGAAAAGGGTAAAGAGGTGGTGCAAATGAAGTAAATTGGAGATTAGTAAAGGAAAGGGTTAAGGGCATAGGGCGATTGGATGAAATGGAGTGTATCTGTGGCTGAGGATGCAATAGGAGCATTGTTTATATAGAAAATGGCAAAAAAGAGCTATTATGAAGCAATCAATTAGTAATAAGTTAGAGATGGCTGTTGGAGAAGAAATTGGAGAATGAGACATGGGGACTGGGGATGGTGGTGAAGTATCTTGAAGAACTTAAGGAGGGGGATCTGGAGAAAGACAATTGTGATAGAAGGGATTCACATGAATATCCAGTTGGGGAGGTATGAATAATGAGGAAAGAAGAGGGAATGGTGCATAACTTGAGAAGATGAGAGGGGAGTAGAGCAAAGGACTGTTTTGAAATAGGCAGAGAGAGAAAAATCTTAATGCCGTATTTCCAGTTTGGCCTCACATAAAGTGTAACCTAGCTTGATATCTGCTACCTTACATTTGAGATTATAGGCAGGGCAGCTCCTATAAAATATATTATGGGAGCCACCACAGTTGGCACATGTACGTGACTGACAGGGCAATTTGAATGGTCATGACCAGATTGGGCCCATAAAGGGCAGCAGGCTGTAGAGTGACAGTGTTTGGGTAGGTGACCAAAACTCCCAACATTTTTGACACTGATTGTCATCGTTTTCACAGTCTGATCAGTTCTTGTCATAGATAATACACTCAGTCAGGGAAATGGAAATTGATTTCAATTAGGGTAGATAGTGCACAAGCTAGGGGTTCGAATGTAACTGTGACAAGGTGTGAACAATCAGAACAACTATGAAAGGAAACATGCCTACTTTTTTGGGGAGACATTGTTGGAAGAGAAGGGTACTGATAGAGTAAGGAGATTTGGGGAGAATCATAAAGAATCGATCCCACTTGGCTGGGCCAAAGAGAGTACTTAAAAGGTTTGCAGTGGATGAGGACAGGAGGAAGATGGGGTAGTGTGGGGTAAAGTAGTACAATGGGGAGGAGGGCAATAAGGGTGAAGAGTAGTAATGAAGAAGACTGTGCAGTAGGAGATGGAGTGTTGAATGTTGGGCGAGAGGAAGGGGTGCTTTCTGAAGATTGAATAATGACCTAGCTGGGTGGTTTGGAATAGATAGAGTTGTCAGCATACATCAAGAGAGAGTATTAGTATCAGTGGTCAAAGCTGTGGTCAAAGGAGAGGCAGAGGTCAGTAAACCAATGAAATCAAATTTAGATGGGCTAGGTGATGAAGGAGCAAGCCTTAATGGCCCTATTAAGGGTAAAAGATCTTCATTCTTGGCCATGGCGAGCATGAAATGAGTGAGAAAAGAAATGGTCTACCCCTCAAGATTCCCAGGAGAAGGTAAGGGCTAAGCGATTAACCAAGAGAATACCGTGCCCATGGCTCCTGGAGGTCGTTCATGATTGACACAAAGCCAGCCTTTCATCCTTTCAGCATAGCTCTCACACCATAGGAAGTGGACAGAAGGAGATGAAAAAAATGAAAAGTAAAGGGGGAGAAGAAAAGACCATGCAAAATTAGTTGAGGTGAGGGCTGAGGCCTAAGGTAGGGGTAATCCCAGACTTTGGGCTTCAGTCTCCATCTCCTAAGGCCCCCCCACAGCATCAATGAGCAAGGGATTGGGGGCATAATGAGACTTAAGATTATTATTTGGTGTAATATAACCATGTTTGAAGTATATCAGATTATGCATTGTTCACGTCACCTATGATTAACCTTACAGGTGTGTATCATAATAACAAAAACTTGGGCATTTGTCAATTTACACTTGCTGATAAATACACAGATGTAAATGATATGGAACCATAATAATGGTGACTAGCATATGGTTAAATGCTAATTCACTATAAGGCTTTGTCTATACAAGGAAATATATTGGAATCATCATTATTATTGACAATAATATATCAGTTGATTATTTTACAGATAAGTTTCCCTATATTCTTAACAAAACATCCTAACTCTTTAACCACAATATAACACACCAAAGAAGACTAGTTTTAAACATATCTTAAGCTTTGCATTATAGTAAATTTCTATAATAATTAATACATACCCCATAATAATTAATACATACTATTATATTCTATATTCAACTCTATACTCTGGCTACTCTTGAAAAAAAAAAAAAAAATAAAAGATAAATAAAATCTGGAAATGTGTCAACTTCAGTATAATGTGTCTGCTAATTAGAATAATACAAAATTAATGAATCGAAATACTCCAGAGTCAGCGTGCGAGTTGCCAGTTATTACTATCTTGTCCTGATATTAGGCGCATTAGTCCCGTTGCTGCAGTCGACCTCGTTTTAACAACCCGTGTGATGCTTACTCACTACTTCTCTCCATGAAAATCTGCCTGTTGGTCCCATCATGTGGCCGAAGGAAAGAGAAAGTGTTAGCTACCGTATTCATATTTTCCTTGCATATTACAATGTATATAGATAGGCAGGCAGGCAGATACAATAACATATAGATCTTGATAATTTCATAGGTTTATACAGATACACGATTAAATACACATGATAACACACACACACACACACACACACACACACACACACACACACACACACACACACACACACACACACACACACACACACACACACACACACACACACACATGATTAATACACCATATACTCCATTGCCACCTGTATTGTTTCTATTACTGAAATTATGAATAAAGATAGATAGATAGACACACACACACACACACACACACACTTTTTATATACAGGTATTTTCCACATACACAATTTGTTTGCTTTCTGTTAAACCATTTTCAACCTTCCTATTGCTCCACCCGCCAGTAGCTCAACTCATCATTAACTGTTAAAATTGATGGCCCTTAACACTTAATAAATTCCCCTTTAACATCCTAGGCGTTGACCAGAGCTAGCAATAACTGTTTGGTATATCGTTGGGGGGAGGGGGAGGGAGAGGGAGAGGAGAGGGAGAGGGAGAGGAGAAGGTGGAGAAGATGGAAAAAGAGAGACCGACAAAGACATACCGAATGATAGAGAAAAATTCAGAATTCGACTGTTGAATTTCTTCTTTGTGTCACATCACCAATAACAGAGACTATTGTTTTTAACTGAACACTCCATGGACGTATAAAATATAAACATCGATATCTTCTTGTTTAATGCACTGCAATGGTGAGATGGAGTGCATTAATGTGAATATGTTGAAGTTCTTGTTATAAATGGAGGTATAAATTGGTAGAATATTTAAAAAGCGTTTTTGTTGGCTACTTGCTTCTGTTGAAATGCAAAAACGGAATGAAAAGTGCATGCATAATATGGCCTAAATAACGGAATTATATGTATGCACACAGCACACACACACACACAACACACACACACACACACACCACACACACACACACACACACACACACACACACACACACACACCACACACACCATATATATATAATATATAATATATATATATATATATACATATATACATACACATATATATATAAACCTTAACGCCAGAAATGGACTGAATAATGCAAGCATAACAGGGCGTAAACAACCTACATCTACATCGTTACAAAAAAAAAAAAAAAAAAAAAAAAAAAAAAAAAAAAAACGGACGTAAAAGTAGTAGCCTATAAGGGGCTAAAAATCTAAATTACACCTTTACCCTCAACGCACCTGAAAGCAACGCCCCAATAGCACAGGTTGAAGACCAGATAGATGAGAGGAACCACTATCCTGCTCTTCACCATCAAGGCCATATTAACCCCGTCAGGTCCCTCGTCCTTGAGGTCTGCCGTGTCGCGTGTCTTCTTCCCTTCCTCTTGTCCCCCTCGAATCGTCCTCGTGCTGGTCTTGCTCACTTCGTCACCCCAGACGATCGAGGAGGAGCTACGTGGAGGACCTGCTATGTTGATGACTCTGGTGTTCTTCGAGGCTAGAACACGAGGTCCTGTGATTCTGTTCTGTGCAGGAGATTACAGGATGAATGGTTATTGCAGATTCACGTCTTGGTTTTCAAACACACGAGTGATGTTAATGATATTTGATGTATAGGCCATTGAGCTGAAAACAAGTCTTACTAATAGTATAGAATTTACACAAATGTACCTCATCTAAAATTCGTAAGGAAAAAAATCGCAGTATCTAAATTACCAAATGTTATTGAAGAGATGATAACAAATGATACCGATACATTAAAAAGTCAATACATACGACAGAACTGTGAAGGAAACAAAACTTCTAATATAACTGCATTGCAAAACACGACCGTAAAATAAAAAAAACGATAACTGTAATCTTTTATAAAGAAAACTTCAGGGAATATTGAAAGAAAAAGCAAATGAGAAATTTCACTCAACGATTTCATTAGAACGGGTAATGAATGATAAAAAAAAAAAAAAAAAAAATGCCAAGAAATTATAGCAAACTTAGAATTACCAATATATAAATGTTTAAACAGAATGATTTAAAAAAAACGTTGACAAGATTCTTAAAAATTATACCATCAAAAACCGACAACAATAAGGAACACACAAACACCTACTCCAAAACATCTACACCAAACAAGGAAAAATCAAAATACTAACACCCCTACGTTTACCAAATCCTAAATCCTCATTACATACACGTCCAATAATAAAGATTACACACTGTTGATAAATTATTTCTCCTTTAAAAGACTATAATAACAAGGATTCACCACGAGTCTCCCAATGAACGAATCGGCGGTGTTGGAACGCGTCTTCTGAACGGAGAAATTAACGAGCGTCTGTAGCAAGATGACCAAGAAGATGATCACGATGGAGACGAAGAGCCAGATGTCTATTAGCTTGAAGTAGGACGTCTTAAGGAGAGCGTTTGATGTCTGAATTAGAGCGGAGACATATTAAGACATATTAGAACACGGTAGGGGTGTAGGGGTGTTGGTAGGTGTGTTTACTTATGTCTGAATTAGAGAAGGAGACATATTAGAACACGGTAGGGGTGTAGGTAGGTGTGTTTACTTATGTCTGAATTAGAGGGGAATTATAAGTTTAGGGTAGGGGTGAAGGGGTGTTGGTAGGTGTGTTTACTTATGTCTGAATTAGAGAAGGGGTATTAGAACACTGGTAGGGGTGTAGGTAGGTGTGTTTACTTTTGTCTGAATTAGGAGACATATTAGAACACGGTAGGGGTGAAGGGGTGTTGGTGGTGGTGTTTACTTATGTCTGAATATTGAGAAGGGTGTTGGAGACTTATGTCTGATTAGAGAAGGAGATTTAGAACATGGTAGGGGTGCAAGGGTGTAGGTAGGTGTGTTTACTTATGTCTGAATTAGAGAAGGAGACATATTGGAACACGGTAGGGGTGTAGGGGTGTTGGTGTGGTAGTGTGTTATCTATGTGGGGTGAATGTTGTTAGAGAAGGAGACATATTAGAACACGGTAGGGGTGTAGGTAGGTGTGTTTACTTATGTCTGAATTAGAGCGGAGACATATTAAGACATATTAGAACACGGTAGGGGTGTAGGGTGTTGGTAGGTGTGTTTACTTATGTCTGAATTAGAGAAGGAGACATATTAGAACACGGTAGGGGTGTAGGTAGGTGTGTTTACTTATGTCTAAATTAGAGACATATTAGAACACAGTAGGGGTGTAGGGGTGTTGGTAGGTGTGTTTACTTATGTCTGAATTAGAGAAGGAGACATATTAGAACGGTAGGGGTGTAGGGGTGTGTAGGTGTGTTTACTTATGTCTGAATTGAAAGGAGACTACGGGTAGGTGTAGGGGTGTTGGTAGGTGTTTACTTATGTGAATTAGAGAACATATTAGACATAGAACACGGTAAGGGTGTAGGGGTGTAGGTAGGTGTGTTTACTTATGTCTGAATTAGTATTAGAACACGGTAAGGGTGTAGGGGTGTTGGTAGGTGTGTTTACTTATGTCTAAATTAGAGACATATTAGAACACGGTAGGGGTGTAGGGGTGTAGGTAGGTGTGTTTACTTATGTCTGAATTAGAGAAGGAGACATATTAGAACACGGTAAGGTGTGGGGTTGGTAGGTGTAGGGGTGTTACTGAATTAGATATTAGAACACGGTGGGGTGTAGGGGTGCTTATGTCTGGAACATATTAGTAGGGGTGTTGGTAGGTGTGTGTTTACTTATGTCTGAATTATTAGAACACGGTAGGGTGTAGGGGTGTTGGTAACTTATGTCTGAATTAGAGAAGGAGACATATTAGACATAGAACACGGTAAGGGTGTAGGGGTGTTGGTAGGTGTGTTTACTTATGTCTAAATTAGAGACATATTAGAACACGGTAGGGGTGTAGGGGTGTAGGTAGGTGTGTTTACTTATGTCTGAATTAGAGACATATTAGAACACGGTAAGGGTGTAGGGGTGTTGGTAGGTGTGTTTACTTATATGCCGTGTCGTTGCAGTTATACGCGGATATAAGTATATATACACATGATATAAATATAGTTCGTTGAAGAAATAAACCGAGAGGAAGACAGTTGGATAGTTGAATTATGAATTCATAAGAAACCAGGAGAAAAAAAGAACTTTATTAAAGAAATAAATCGAAAAAAAATAAATGGATAGTTGAATTAAGAATTTAAAAGGAACCAGAAGAAATAACTTTTTTTTTTTTTTTCAAACAGACTTAGTACCGACGGCCTGGGGGGTCCTAACCTGCGTGAGGAGTGACGTCAGCACCAAAAGCGACGTCACGGCCACAACCACACGCGAATTGAAGTCATCCGGGTTGAAGAAGAAAGTAGCATAGGCGATGAGGATCAGGAGGACCGTTGGGATGTATAAGGTGAGGAGGTAGAAGGTGTAGCGGCGATAAAACCGGACCTTTACTTGAATCACGGAAAATTCTCCTTCGTTCGAGGAGGATATGGTCGTTGTCCCTTGGTTAAAAACAGCAAAAATAAATAGATAGATCAATGAATAACGAAAATAATAATAATAATAATAACATAAAGTAAAACCGGTTACTGGTTTCAGGCGAGTTGGTAATTTCACCTACAAACGTCTCTAACTATTTCTAGAAAATAGAAGCCCGTGTAGTTAGTGCGATAAAAGATAGATACCTTTTTTACATTCTCCTTTTATAGTAATACCTATTTTGCAGACAATTTCCTTAGCAAGATAGAAGAAAGTCTTACCACACTGTTGTTACTTTAGGATAGATTATTACTCTAGGGAAACGGACTTATAAACAACTCTGCTAGGTGTTTATAGCAAACTATCGCTTCTACATCGTTAACACAAACAAAACGCTTTTCTTTATACAAACCAAATCATCTATTTCTTCTGGATATAGAGAGAATTTAGAATAATTGTCCAGGGGATAAACTTACCGATCTGGTACTCAATGAGAAAGGTTGGGCCGCTGTAGAGTGAAAGACCAGGTTCTAAGACCATGTAGGTGGAGGCGGCAGACACGAGCGTGAAGTTCAGACTGCATTCCTGTGACGCAAAAGCAATCGGTCTTATATCTATAT